TTCAAAACGGATTTATTTAAAGGTGTCACAATAGCTAAGTTCAGGCATGTAGGCTTAAGGGAAGTAAAATTAAAAGAGGACACTTTCCCCCCCCAAGTTAAAGATAATTTCTTTAACACCAAGCATATTGCTAAAGTGCAACATTTATACTTGGTAAACAATAATTGGCAACAAAGTAAGTTTAAATGCTGTAATATTCTGCCCAAACCAGTCCCAGATACTGTTTAATAACCAAGATGTAAACTAATTTTGTTGTAACAAGCCTAGACAAATTCTATCCAGCATGTTCTTGATTAGATACCCAGTTTCATTTAATGTTTTAAAAGCTCATTTGACAGCCAGTCAAGTCCCTCTTACAGGCCAGTTCCTTGTGTAGCACAAGTGGCTTGAAAATACCATGTTCTGTTACGAAGAGACTGAAGACCTAATTTATCTGTCATTGCACTGATGGCCATAGCATTTGGCAAATCATGTTTATTTGCAAAAAGCAGCAACACTGCATCTTGCAACTCATCTTCCTGAAGCATTTTTTGTAGCTCTTCAGCTCCTTCCTGAATTCTTTCACGATCATTGCTATCTACCACAAAAATAAGACCCTGGGTGTTCTGGAAGTAATGCCCCCAGAGAGGCCTTATTTTATCTTGACCACCAACATCCCATACTGTGAAACAAATGTTCTTATATTCTACTGTTTCCACATTAAAACCAATGGTAGGAATTGTGGTGACTATCTCCCCTAACTGCAGTTTATACAGAATGGTCGTCTTGCCAGCAGCATCCAATCCAAGCATCAAAATGAGCATCTGCTTCTTGCCGAAGAGGCGGGAGAAGAGGGAGGAGATGGTGAGGCCCATGGCGGTAGTTGCACTCGCGATGGGCAGGAGCAGAAGGGGTTCGGAGCTTCCCCAGGCCCTCTCTTTTCACGCTCCCGGCAAGCTGAGCGAGAAGGAGAGGAGCTAATGAAGAAAGAGGGCGGCAGGGGCGGCTCGCTAGCCGGTGTGCTGGGCGACGCTCCCGTACCAGAATTAGCGGGGCGCGGTTTTCTGTATCTATTTTTGTTCATCAGTTTATATTGGTCTTTATTACCCATAAATGAGATCATGTGGTATTTTTCCTTCATTGACTGGCTTATTTCACTTAGCATAATTCTCTCCGGTTACATCCATGCTGTTGCAAATGGTAAAAGTTCCTTCTTTTTCACAGCATAGTATTCCATTGTGTA